GGTCTGTTCCCGCACTCCACTGCGACCTTCTCAATCCCTGTCAACCGGCACCTCAGATCCGACTTCTCCAATCAGAATCCCGGATGCCATAAGATTGGAAAAGGTCTGGACTTCCATAGGATGGTGATGATGCGCTACTCTCTGCCCAAGGGCAGAGGCGTCAAGCCACGCCATACGAGATGAGGCGTAAAAATACTCCGTATCTGATTTTCTTTCTCTCTTCTGGCTGATTCACGGCGGAAAGAATACTTGCCATCGAGATGTACATGGACTCAGACAAGATTCTACCAGTGGCATAGGGCAACCTGTTTCCAAGGACGTCTGTCTGCACTTGAACTATGGCTGGGTGCATCGGGCTTGACAGGGAAACAGGGCGCCAAACGTCCAGAGACATCTCCCGCAAAAGCGTCGCCGATCCCTTCAACATGTCCTGCAACCTCCGTATCAGGCTTTACAGGCATCCCTTTTGTCTGTTGGCTCGGCGGGCCTGTCGAGACATACATGTATCCACTGTCCATGACAGAGATGTCATCCTCGTCTCCGCTGTGACGATTCTCGTGGGAGTATAATCGTTTGTCAGATGAAAACCTCAGAGCCCTGGTATCCGTACTCACGCAATCAAAATTTGGTTCTGATCCCTGGCGACCGGACTGGGGGAGGGTCGTCCGTAAGGCATGGTACACGGGCATTCCAGGGGTCGCTCTCGAGGGGGACCAAAAGGTCCGGGACGTTTGTATCGACGATGGCCCGTGGTGTTAGCGCCCTCGTGCCACCTAACTACCACTTCGATGTTGCACCACCGCCAGGGGAACTTTGATGACCTGAACACATTCTTCTCCGAATGGACACGGCAGAGACTCTCTTTATTGATTTTGCTATTTTCCGCACTTTGCATTAGCAAACGTGAACCTTGAGGCTCACACTATTGGCTGCTGTTTCATCAACCTCGAAAGGGGTGAACCGGTCACAGTTTAGCTCCAGCTCCGGTAGCTTAAAGCAGCTTCATGCATTCATGTTTTTAGACATTTTCAGTGTTGAAACCTGGGCAACTACTTCGTACACGAAAAGCAATTCTCAGTAGCACGTACCAAGTTACCTAAGCTGGTGCCCTTGCTTTCACCGAGATTGATCAATTTGGTCAATCTTTGGAGAACTTCAATCGAACAATGTTCTAGACAACTATAGCGCTTTCGTTTAGACTTCGTTGCATTCTAATTTCCGACAGACGATCATGGCATGTTTCAACACGGCCAGGACTAATCTTCGCTAGAGTCGTAAATTCCCCCATCCATGATTGATGTGCTCTACATTATACGATATCGAACTCAGAAAGTCACGTTGGCCAATACTGAGAAAGACAACCAGCAGGCTTGGAAACGAATAAACCATCCGTGGACAGAATTTCCGCACGTCAAAAACCGTGACAGCGGAGTAAACCGACGTCATCCCGCCCCCAAATAAGCTGCCCTCCTCCATGTCACGGCACACAAGATCCGACTTTGCCAATCACATCCTCCCCCATTCTACCTTAATTGCTTGTCGTTCTCTCTCTCCATTATTCCCGTTTTGCTACTACACTAGGTACTTACTACCGCACGCGCCACAAATCTCGATCCAAGAGTCTTGCCATGGCTCGCCTGGCTAATGCGGCACCGCCACACCGCCACACATTCAAACGCGGCCGGTTCACAGTGACGTTGGTACCTACGCTATGCTAGCCGCGGGTGATGGACCCAAACGCACGTTGATCGATTGACAGCATCCACCGGTCTGAATTCTCCGTCACAGTAGTATGAGGGATCGCATCGGTGATTGTTTGGTGCGTTGGTGGTTGGTTGAGCCAAGTATCTCTTGAGACGCTTGCGGGCTCCACTGTGAAGCAATACATTGCGCGGCTTCGTGAGATCTTCACATCCTTCTGCCCAAAAGTGACATTCGCTCGTCACCTGCTACTTGAGAGCAAGGCAGGCAGGCCTATCAGCCAGAGATGCATCCATCACGTCAATGATGGGACGCCGCTGAATTTCACTATGGCGGCAGGTTTGGATCAATATGGCCAAAGAATTGGGAAGTCTTGTTGTATTTCCGCCCTCTTCGTGCTTCTCCTCCCAAAACGCCCAGCCTATGAATCAGAGGGTTCCGAATGTGGTCCCGCCCAGGCGACTCCAGTAAACCCATCATGCCTTCATCCATGCCTCCCCACTTGCAGTTGCTTGTCATCATCGACGAAGCATCTTTTTTGTACGGATTACTCTTTTCTTGGTTTAGACATCATCATCTCTCCTCCCCACAAGATTACATCAACGACGTCCGCCGCGGCCCCGGCCGGCACCAGGCATTCCGCCGCCCATGCCCGGCATACCACCCATACCACCCATACCCATCTGCTGCATCATGGCCTGCATATCGGGCATGCCACCGCCGCCTCCGCCGCCGAGCATCTTCATGAGGCTGCCCATGTCCGGCATCCCGCCCCCGCCCATGCCTCCGGCGCCGCCCATGCTCTGTAAGCGCTTCTGCATGGCCGCCATCTGTTGTGCCTTGTTGCCGCCGCCCATGGCCTGCTGCGCGCGCTGCATGTTCTTCATGTTGCCGCCCATCTTCTTGGCCATGCCCGCCATCATCCGCTGCTGCGTCAGCAGGTCCTCGACTTCGCGCACCGAGGTTCCCGACCCGTGGGCGATTCTCGTCATCCGCGTCGGTTGCTCGATAAACATCTTGCCGTCCGAATCAAGCTCCCTCTCCGTCATCGAGTCGCAAATATAGATCATGCGCTTGAGCTTGGCGCTACCCTCCTCGTCGTCCATGCCCTGCATCATGCCGCTCATGCCGGGAATCATGCCCGCCATCTTGGATAACGGTCCCATCTTCATGATATTGGATAGCTGGTCCCGCAGGTCGCGCACCGTAAAGATACCTTCCGTGATGTGTTTTATCGTGTCCTTCTGGTCCAGCTTCAAACTTTGCACGTGCTCCACCAGTCCGGCCATATCGCCCATGCCAAGCAGCTTCTGTACGAATTGTTGTGGTGCGAAACGCTCAAAGTCGAGCATGTGCTCACCCGTACCGATGAAGACGATAGGGGTATGTGTTGCTGCGACAGCGGAAATGGCACCACCACCCGCTGCGTGACCATCCGTCTTGGTGATGATGATGGCTCCAAAGTCTGCCGATTCCTTGAACGCCTTGGCCTGCGACTCGGCCTGCTGACCGATGGATGCGTCGAGCACCATGATCGTCTCGTCGGGTCGGATTGCCGTCTGGATGTCCACCATCTCCTGGAACAGAGCCTCCTCTTGCCTATGACGACCTGATGTGTCCACTATGATGATCTCGAACTTCTCCTTCTTGAACTTTTCGACACCGTCTCTTGCTACCACCGCCGGGTCCGTCTCTGTCAGGGAACCGTAGTATGGGATCTTCGCCTTGGTCGCGTTCTGCTTCAGCTGGTCAAAAGCACCGGCACGGAAAGTATCAGCGCACACCAGGCAGGCCTTGAAGCCTCTCGCCTGGTAGTGGCGTGCGAGCTTCGTACACGTTGTCGTTTTACCGGCACCCTGCAGACCGACAAACATGATGATGTTGGACTTGCCCTTCTTGGGCTTGAACGGTTCGGCATGGGGATCGACGAGCTTGACGAGCTCATCAAAAACGGACTTTTGGATGAGGCGCTTCTTGTTGACGGCGGGCGGGAGCTCCTTGAAGTTGACGGTGCTCTTGATCGATTTTCGCAATTGGCCGACGAGGCGCACGTTGACGTCGGCTTCGAGAAGGGCGGAGCAAATCTCCTTGAGCATGCCATCGAAAGCCTGCGACACAGATACAGATCTTGTTAGCAGCTGCTGTTGCATCTCACGGCGGCATCGTGTGGCGACTGCGACGGAGGGTTCTGCGGGGTAGGAATGCGGCGCACCTTTTCGTCGAGGTTGGGCTCTCTGGTGAGATTTGTGACGGCCGTGTTGATGCGACGACCGAGATCTTGAAGAACCATGGTGGGCGGTTTGCGGCTACCGAGCCGACTTGGGGTATCTCGAAGGGGGTTCTTTTGGTGATGCTCTCGAGTAACGGGAGGACGACGTGTTGCAAATGGGAATTTGGCTTCAGGGTGGGATGTGGATTGCTGCGCTAGCCGTCCAGTGCCACCACGCCGGAATCCATGGATGTGACTGGTGAAGCGTGCAGTGTGGGGTTGGTGACCTCGACCGCGGGACATCGGATGCACCGTTTCTCCAGACCCCAGGTATTTCCGTATACTGTACGAACTCATCCGCACTGTGACGCATAATACTGTGAAGCTATTCCCAGATGTCATATACTTCGTCAACCTCCCACCATTTCTGACCCTTCTCACTGGAATTAATTCCTGATACTTTCATCTCAATCGCAACGAAAAATATGTTTGTAGAACCCTGGGGGTCAGGGAATCGGCGTCAATCACCCCGTCTAGAGTCCTACAAATTCCATCGTCGCAAACTTTCAATGGAAAATTCAGCACCTCAACTACTAACGAAAAGACCTGTCAATGTTCTGGCCTGAAGGTTTTAGGTGGCGCTCAATCTTCGGCCGTTTTGTGTGCGCCTCCAAACCTCAACGGCCCAGCGTCGTTACACATGTCTAAGGCTGCAAACTTACGCCCACATTTGCTCGTTTAACGCCCCCTTTCTCTCTCGACGGCGTCTGCAGGTGTGTCATTTGACATTATGATTTGTTCCAAATGATCTTACGATTATTCTTTCAACTAGCTTGAGCATATTGGCTTCAGGTGTCGGCCACCGGGAATTGGACACACATTTGCATTAAACTTTTGCCTTTATTGCAGAAAATCCTCGTCGACATGCAGCCACACGAGTTAAAGCTTGCGATGTTTACACAAGTAGCTCCATACTATTTCGGAACGTTCCTGCGTGAGAATTTTGCAGACCAGCACGGAGCAAACTTCTAAGAACATACGGCTCATATAAAGGCCGCCATGCTCTTGTCAAAAATTACGCGCGCGATGAGGAATCTTGAAACCTGCTCTTCTCAGTCATAGACCTGTTTTAAGAAAATATAGACAAGATGGGAATCTACAAGGGCCCGGTGACTTCGTTCAAGAAGATCACCAAACTGATCGTCACGGCCCTTCTTTCCAATGGAAAAACAATCCAAGACTACCGTCTCATGGATTCGGCAAAAGTCAATACCATTGACCGCTACCACGATGGCGCCAGATTCCCTAGAGGCATCGGCACCAACCAGAGCAGCTCTCCAGATGACTACAGGACCGTATTCAACGCCTGGGAGGTGAACAGCGCCATGAAGGGTCTCGAGAGGGAATACGGCGTCCAGCTCACTCAAGCGCCCTTCGATACCTATTGGAAACAAAAGTCCACTGTTGCCTTCCTCCCCGTCCCCGACGGTGTCAGCCGTGTGGAGCGCAAACACTACCGCGTCTACCTCACCGCCGGCGTCCAGGCTCGCGAGCGCGGCGGCCCGGACAGTCTTCTTTACTTCATCTCTGACCTCCTCTGGGCCGACAAGCACAAGGCCATGCTCGTCTACAACACAACCACCGTCTTTACACTCGCGCAAGTCCGACAAGTACTGTCTCTCGGCATCGTCATCTTCCCCCTGGTCAACCCAGACGGCAAACTCTGGGACGAGCGCTGGAACAATTGTTGGGGCAACAACATCAACCCTACGTCCCGCCCCTCTGAGAATGGCATCGACGGCATCGGCGTCAATATTGACCGCAATTTCAACTTCACTTGGGACTATCGCAAGATCTACAATCAGCAGGCTCTCGACGTCGCCTCCGACAAGCCCGAACATGAGCTCTTTCACGGCCCCGCACCCTTCTCCGAAGCCGAGTCGCGGAACATGGCGTGGGTCATTGACCAGTACCCATCCATTAAATGGTATCTCGACGTCCACACAAAGAACCGCATCGTGAGCCACGCGTGGTCGGACACTCCGATCCAGACCACCAACCCCGAGATGAACTTCCGCAACCAGAGCTACGACGGCAAGCGCGGTGATGCGAACACACAGTATGGCGAGTACATGACCCCTAAAGACCACGACATCTACAAGGATATCTCCAACAACATGGCCGAGCAAATGGAAAAGGTCTCTGGCGAGCCTTTTTACAGCATCGACAAGCTCCGCAAGAAAGGACGGGTCTTCCAAGGCTCTTCTGGGACTGCCATCGACTGGGCATATAGCAGACATGTCGTGAGCGAGGCGGCCACCAAGGTCATGAGCTTCAAGCTCAAGTTTGGCATTTCGGAGGAGGAGGCGGCAGAAACTGGGCAGAAGGGCGGGTGCCAGTACTATCCGTCGCGCAAGATATACAAAAGGGGTATCTCGGAGAGTGCTGTGGGATACATGACCTTCCTTCTCAACGTCGCCAAGTATGAGAATATGAAGGGTCCTTGGCCTTGAACTGAACATCGTGGACCAAACAATATAGCTCGGGCCATTTGTAGAGCAGGAATCAACTACTCACCCCTCTCACTTCATTTCATGGCTCTGGTTGATCATTTTATCTATCCTAGTATCTCTATGTAGTGTCTCATGTCATACATGCTATCTCTCATGTCTCAGCCATTCCAACGTAAGCCGTATCAATGGTTTAATCATGACACTGTTCACACCTTTTATGAGGATGCCTGTTCAACGTCTAGCTGCCGTAACAGTCCGTCATGAATGTCCTGCATTCTTGGGCAAGAACCGGGCTTTCACCCCAGTGAGCATCGCCATGAAGTAGTACTGTATCTCTGCTTCAGGCGGCATCTCGACCTCCAGATCAAAGTGCTCAAGCAGCGCGGGTATCGTCTTGTAAACAACCAGTTCCGCGAGGTGTCGTCCGGGACACATCCTTCCGCCCCCGCCCCAAGTAAGATTAAACCGTTCCATACCCTTGAGGTCCCTCTCCGTGTCCAGCCAGCGGTCCGGATGATAGTGTTCCGCGTCTGGACCAAATATCAGAGGGTTCCTGTGTAATGAAACAGGGTTGCAGCCGACGGTAGTCCCGGGTGGAAAGGTCTTTCCATGAACTGCAAGTCCTTCAGGGGGCACCGTGCGGGGCAGAGCCATCCCGAGGACAGGATACAATCGTTGCGCTTCTTTAATGGCTGCTTGCGTATAGTTCAAGCGGATGGCGTTATCAAATACCTTGGGATCTTCCGTCGCGGAGCAAACTTCCTCGGAAATCCGCTGCTGCACTTCAGAGTGTGATCCGATCATGGACATGATGGACGTCAACGCGGAGCACATGGTCTCATGTCCGGCCCCGAAATTGGTGATGGCCATCCGGCGGAGATACTGCTCCGTGAACTCTGGCTTGTCCTTGTGTAGTTGGATCAGATCCACGAGGAAGTCTTCTTTACGATCATTCTTCGAGACCGGCTTATCCGCCAGGGACGAGGTGACCCTCCTCGAGACCTGCCGGTAGACGCCGGTGAAGAATGGCTTGAAGTTCTTTGGCGTCTTGTACGTCACGCGCCAGAGGTTAGCAAACGTTCTCCCGCATGCTTTGGAGAACAGCTCCGCCTTCACGGCAAGAGGGAAGAGCCCAAAGACGGATTTGCGGCGCCAGCCGAGGTAGCCGTGGGTGCTGGAAGAATGGTCTGTGTGGTCGCGGAGGTAGTTTGGTGACCAGGTTAGGACGACGGCTGAGAGGGACTCGACGGCTATGATGTGCATCCATTCCTTGAGGTCTACTTCAGCGCCATTGAGAGAACGGAGCGTGGCAATTACTCGAGCTAGGACTGCGTCGAGAGCCGGTTCGTGCCGTTTGAGACATGCTGTCTGGTAGAGGGGTCCGATGAGACGCCGTTGTAAGCGGTATCGTTGGGTGTTACGTTCGGATAGCAGGTCTAGTGTATCTGGGGACGAAAAGTTCGGAAAGGGTGTGAAGGTGATGTCTGGTCTTTGGAGGGCAGTTGACACTGTAAACTTGGTGTAAGCTGGGAGTGAAATGAAATGAGGATCGTCATAACGTACAATAGAAATCGGACTTTTCATAACCACTACCGGCTCCTGTAAACGAGTAAGCATGAGATGAGACCTTCTTCACGATATACAATCAACATACGATAAATGTGCTTGAATGCAGCTACAGAATCGAACCACACCTCATTCGGCCCAACTCTCACAACCGGTCCGTATCGCTTATGAAGCGTCTTTCCCAGCATGAGCATACGCCCATTGCGAATATGGTAAGCGTGCCACACATTCGAAATGGCAGCGAGCCTAGGCCCAGGTACGTGAGCCAAAGGATGAAGAAACAGGCGGTACCCAACGACGATGAAAGCGATGAAAATGAGTGAGGATGACGTGAGTAGCACTATGTTACGGAGAAACGATACCACGCCGTAGACGCCGAGCAGCGGGCTGTATCCTCCGAGCGCCGGAGAAGGCATCGCAAGCCCGGCGCTTCGGACGGAAGCGCGCGATAAGGGGGCGGACGGGGGGTGAGATGTAGGGTTAGGTAGGATGAGTGAGGTAATACGGATAATGTGGGTGAATATGTGAGTGAGGCAGGGTGCGGCGTGATGTGGCGGTTGAGGCTTTGCAGCAAGCGGCGCGCCGCAGAGCAGAGAAAAATTTCGCGGGGGGGCGCTGATGGGAGAGCTGCGGCGCGCACACGCCATTCGGACCGGCCCCACTGTCCGGAACGGGGAATCGAATAGGGGGCTGAGCCAATTGGCTTTCGGGCGTCGCCGCTGGGTTTCCCTTGCATTCTTTACACTCATGCGTACTAAAGTGCCTTACCTTAGTCTCAACTGTGTATTCGTAGATAGTGCTACGGTATATTGCATCCTTACCTCAGCTACGACTTGGATGGCAAGGCAAGGCGGGAGAAGGGCTCCGCTCGGGGCTAGATTTCTTGGTCTGCTTTAGAGGGGACCTGGGAAGCTTACGCTTGTGCGGCTGGGATCACATAGGGCTCTTATGCGCCGTCTCAGGGGTGGACCCCGCCGTTTCGCTGCTGGGGAAGCTCCCATGGGCCATAGCTCGCTCGATGGACCGTCTGTGGGTTACCTCCGGCTTTGGATGCCGAACTTTCACGCTACGCAGGTCATGATGGAGTATCAGTACTCAGTGTGATGTAATTCCTATGAGCATTGTAGTCGGTCTCTAGTGTTGCTATTCTCGTCGCTGGTTTTGTCGGTCTATGAAGTCCAAGTAGGCACTGCCCTTCTGCAGTCGTCGTATGTCCGGGGAGATAGGGGATCCAACAGACCATGAACAATCAAGTCACTGACTTACTCGGGCTGGCGGCTACAAGGCAAGTGACACTTCCAAGTTCCGATGACAGCTCCCTTTCCCGGTTGATCCAGGATCGACCAAGGTTACCGTTGCAGTGAGATTCGCTCTCAGACCTCGTTCGTCCGTCTGGAATTGATCATCGATCTGGTGTGCCACGTCAACTCGCCTCCAATACCCAAGTACTCCCGAGACCCTGGAAAGTTCAAAATAGCTTTATCCTTAGGATCCCGTCATCCTAGAATGTTTCAAAGCTTTAGCCGAATTATAAGACGGATCATATTATTTCTCATCACGCCTTTAATCCTGGCTTGAAAGATTGGTGGAAGAATACTTCTGATCTCTCATGTATCATCGTGGCCAAGTTGTTTTTTTGTCAAAGATGAAAAGAAATTGCTAAACGGAAGCCAACTTCCGTAAAATGGCACTTTTCTAGCAATGAAGAAGAAATTCAATGAAACCTCCTGAAGATCATTGGAATCACATGTATGCGTAGCCTCCGTCGGACATTATCTCTGGCACGCAAAGTCTAGGTTGAAACGGCAAATCCCGCTACGGGGAGACAATAAGCTGAAAATCATCATCTAAAGAAAACCCGCAAACGGGGCAATTATTGGATGGAGAAACTTTAGTTGTCGATCTGAACATGGCTTCATATTCTCCGTAATGGTGTGATGCTCCAGAGACTGCCGTCAATTATGCTTCAACTGCATGAGGCTAAAGCTCTACACAAACATCACCAAGGTACAAACACCAATGATTGGCGCAAAAGGGCGGACACTTGCAAACAGCTCCGATCCATGTCTCGTCAACTTGATCCCACATCTCGGTTGATCGACGCTTCTTGGTGAGCTTGAATCAAATTGATTGTGGTGTACGTCGCCCTGTTGGAGGAAATCAAGCTAACGGTTTCATCGACTCTGCAACTCCACTGAAGCATCTTACTACAACTGGATACAATGACTGGAGCACGTCAATCCCAATCGGGATGAGCCTTTCGAAAACCAGCTCAACTTTGTAACGAACATGTTCCCTTCCAAGAATAGATGCACGCAACATACGTACGGCTGGCTGAGAACATCAGTTCCTCAGATGCGTACGCAAACCTAAAGCTGGACGACTGGCTGGTAGGGAGCTGAGAGTCCACGTCATCGAGGCAAGCTCCATTGTAAGGGAGCATAGGGGGGCGATGGCATCTTCCGTAGGTTCTAGCGCTTCTTTTCCCAGCCTGTCTCACTCCCTTTGATCTCGCTTTGAGTCACAAACACACAGATGCTGGTTCATCTTTTTTTTCCCGGCCTCAAGGGTCTGGTGCATGACAACTCCGAAAACTCCCTTTTGGGAAACTTCGGCCATCATCGTCCGATGTTTGTACAATATGCAAGCAATTTGGAGGATAAAGTCGCCAAAAAGTTGTCAATTGGTGTCAACGCAAGCAATTCCGTCGCCACATTCCTCAAAGCGGTCGACTAATCCGCCCCTGGCCCCGGGCCACCGGCGCAGCCCTTCGGGGCGCTACCCGGGATCCTAATTCGGGAAGTGGGCGGGCTTGCGTGTCCCAGCCCCAAGGGCTGTCTCGGGAGAGCTTTTTTGGCCTGTTTGTCCCTGCATAGGATTAGGGGGCCAGAACAACTTGTCAGTGACAGGCGTTAACAGCGTCGAAACCAGACGTTTCGAAACAAACGGTCTCTCAAGGCCAATCGTTACCAAACTTTCAGACGCGCTAGACCTGACGAACACCTCCTGTAGTCCTCCGTTGCTGGATACTACCAGGCCCCAAAGTGGCTTACTTACTGTGTAAACCCTGGTGTCCCTTGTCGGGGCTTCATGGAGCCATCTCACTCAACTTGACACCGCCCTACCGCGGCTGGGCCAACGATGAACGAAGACGGAAAGCCGCGCAAGCAGACATGCCACAGCATACTATGTTCAGTCAAGCATTGGACCAGCTCCCCACAGGGACAATGGGGCTTTTCTCCGTGCTCTCCAAAGAGTCGATCATAGCGTCACGGAATATTCCCTGATGGGCCCAGCCCGCGATGGAGCCACTGGGACATCGAATTGCGGAGCTGAGCCGCGTTGTCGTCAACTCCTCGACTCGAAGACGTGCTGAGCATGTCACTTGGGTGTAAGTCGAGAAACTCGAGCTAAACCATCCCGTCATCGGTGTCAGTATAGTATCGAAAGAAGATATAAACACATCGGATTTCCAACTAATCCAGACTCTTTTTTTTCCTTCTCATCACCACACTCATCTCATCTTATCTCTTCTGCATCTTCTTTCTTTTCCTCAACAACCTCACTTGTTCTACCGCAAACCCCCTTCTTTCTTTTTTACCTCGACCTCACCTTTTTTTTTCAACAACTTCACTTCATTCATTCGCCAGGATGCGTTCCAACCTCATTTTCGCCCTTGTTACCGCCATCGCGGCCATCAGCTCAGCGGCGCCGGCGCCCCAGGCTTCTGGTGCGCCCCCGTCCGGCACTGGGCTGGCCCCCCCGCCCCACGGCAGTGGAGCTCCCCCGAGCGGCACTCCTCCCCCGCGCCCCTCCGGCACCGGCCTGCCTCCTAGCGGTGCCCCACCTTCCGGCACTCCCCCGGCTCAGCAGCAGCGCCGCTTCCGTGGCATGATGAACCGTCGCCAGAACTCCGCCCTGCCCTCTGGACCCCCGCCTTCTGGCGCACCTTCCGGTGCTCCCCCGAGCGGCACTCCCCCTCCTCGCCCCAGCGGCGTCGCCCAGCCCAGCGGTGGCGGCCACGGCGGCTTCGGTGCTCAGGAGGCTGGTGCTAAGCCCACTGGTGCTCCCCCGTCCGGTGCACCTCCCTCCGGTGCACCTCCCTCCGGCGTCCGCCCGAGCGGCCCTCCCCCCTCTGGAGTTCCTCCCTCTGGTGCTCCCCCTAGTGATGCACCTGCTCCTACCGGCAACGCTAAGCGTGCTGAGCCCTCTGGTGCTAAGCCGTCTGGACCTCCTCCTTCCGGCGTTCGCCCCAGCGGTCCTCCCCCGAGCGGCGCACCCCCCTCCGGCCTTCCTCCTTCGGGCCCTCCTCCTAGCGGTGCCCCTGCTCCTACTGGCAACGCTCGCCGCGCCGAGTCTGCTCCCGCAGGCCCCAAGCCTACCGGCCCTCCCCCGTCTGGAGTGAAGCCTTCCGGTCCTCCTCCTTCTGGCGCTCCTCCTTCGGGTGCCCCGCCTTCCGGAGCTCCCCCCTCTGGTGCTCCCGCTCCCACTGGCAATGCTCGCCGTGCTGAGTCTGCTCCCCCGGCCAAGCCCTCTGGCGAGTCTGGACCTCCCCCTTCAGGAGTTCGCCCCAGTGGCCCTCCTCCCTCTGGTGCTCCTCCTTCTGGTGCTCCCCCCAGCGGCGCTCCTAAACCCACCAACGCCAAGCGCGCTGACGAGTCTGCTCCCGCCGGCCCTAAGCCTACCGGTCCCCCGCCTTCTGGAGTGAAGCCTTCCGGCGCTCCTCCTTCCGGCGCTCCTTCCGGTGTTCCTCCTTCTGGTGCTCCTCCTTCTGGTGCCCCTCCCTCCGGTGCTCCCGCTCCTACCGGCAATGCTCGCCGCGCTGAGGACGCAGCTCCCACCGGTACCAAGCCCACTGGTGCTCCTCCTTCCGGTGCTCCCCCCTCCGGCGCTCCTTCTGGAACTCCTCCCCCCAGACCTTCCGGTGCTCAGGCCGAGGGTGCTGCTCCTTCCGGCAACCCTCCTCCTAAGCCCACTGGCACCCCCACCGGCCCTCCTCCTTCCGGCGCACCCTCCGCTCCCGCCCAGAAGCGCGCCGAGTCCGCCCCTCCCTCTAAGCCTTCCGGCACCCCTCCCTCCGGCGCTCCTCCCTCTGGCACCCCTCCTCCTCGTCCCAGCGGTGCTCAGGCTGAGGGTGCTGCTCCCAGCGGAACTCCCCCTCCCAAGCCTACCGGCACTCACACCGGCCCTCCTCCTTCCGGAGCTCCTCCCGCTCCTACCCAGAGCGCTTAAATAGCTCTCTCACTAGAGAGTCACGAAGACGATCATCAACGATAGACTTGAAGCCATCGGTTCAGCCCGCACAGCAGCAGCGAATTTGATACCATCTTGAGTCTGGGTTTGTCTTACCAGGAGACATTGGGCCATGGCTGTCCAGCATTGAGAGCAGAGAAAGAGAAGAAGAAAAGGTGGATATCGACACGAGACATGGGACAGTTGACGACGATGGCGGTGATCACTTGGCTAGTCATTTTTGCTTTGTAGATATTGGTTGAGATTTTTGTGGGCATTGTATCATAGCATTTCTTTGAGAAAACCTGAGAATAACAGCGCTGTTACTCGAAATCGCTTCTTCCCTTTTTGGCTACTTCACTTTGCAATGATGACCCGATTGATATTGAGTTGCACCGAACTTGTGGATACATCCTTAGACTGTTGCCTGAAAGTTCCCGGTTTTGTCCTACGCGTGGCTAGCAAAATTGGGTTACGACGAAAACATAAAGTCTCAGCTCTGCTGCATGGTGGAATATGAGGAAAAGGTAGGAGGGTCGTATTGCCAGCCGTTGTACTAATGCATGCAGTCATCAAGGGGCCCCGGAATATCAAACTCCTCTTGTCTTGCATGATTGGTAGAAGGGTACGAATTCCTGATTTACAGGGGACCTGGTTGTCAGCTTGCATGCATACGCCAGGGGTAACAACCCATATCACATGGCATCATTAGATCCTTCGATTCCTTCAGTGCGATAACTGGCGGCTGTCGCAGCTCAGCTCGGAATCTGGCTAGGGTTTTCAGAAACACAATGACAAGCCTGTCAGGCCATGTCCCAGGCAGCAGGCTTAGCCAAAACTCAAAAACTTTAAGATAGACACTATCCTCGCAAAATGCGCTAGGGAAGAGGTTCCTTCGCGTTGTGGGCTTGACATCTTAATGATCCCTTCATGAATCACCTTCCACGACCCTAGGCTCTAGCTCCCGCAAACGAGTGGCCCTGACTCTGACGGTCACGAAGTTCAATAATACCCACAATGATTTCTCAAGCTCCTCAGCCGACGAATAGCCCGCAGAAGGATGAGTTGATCCATCAAGATGAGGCAGGGCATCGAACTTCTCACAAAACCATGCCCAAAGTCGTGGAATCTCATCTGGGCGATTATGACATTTTACCAGCCAGAGAGGACACCCTTGACAGTATGGGAGAGTCACCCACATACTCAACTTTGAGATGGTGGTATCTGGAGATAGGATGTTGTTTTCTCGCCGTTGCGAGTCTCGTCGCTCAGGCAATCGTCCTGTGGCAGTACGATGGCAAGCCGCAAGATGCATGGCCAAGCACGACCTTAACCCTCAACGGTCTGATCGCGATTTTGTCTACCGTCTGCCGCGCGACCTTCATGATTGCTGTGGGTGCCATTCTCAGCCAGGCGAAATGGAATCATTTCTCTGGAAAGAAGGGTGGATACCATAGACTGGATGACTTTACGTTGATCGACGACGCCTCGAGAGGTTCATGGGGTAGCTTGCAGTTGATGTGGAGGTTTAAGGGAGCGTAGGTCTTGAACCGTATCACACCAGAAATCGATCAATGCTAACAGAGACCTTAGACACATTGCTTGCGTTGGAGCTGTGCTGACAATGTTGTCACTTGCTCTGGGTTTCTTCTCCCAGCAATTGATCACTTTGAGGATAGACCAGGTTGTGAGCAACACGCAAGGCCAAGCAGGTACCGTTGCCAGAAGTCAATGGGCAAGCACGGTGTCGGGATATTCAAGCTCTTGTAAGTCGCTCTCTTCTAGAGTTGGAGACACAACTCTTCTATTCGTCGCATGATCATGACAGTTTATGTTTCCCCAGGGAACCCCCTATCACATACAAAACTTGCCATGTACACCGGATTCATGTCTACGGAAGTCAACTTGCCGCAAGTGACCTGCCCCACTGGTAACTGCACTTGGCCCATCGTTCCGACCGTCGGTGTCTGCGGCTCCTGTGTCGACCTGACATCGGAGATCAAAATCAACCGGAGCTCTTCTGCGAATTGTCTTGTGACTGCGCCCGACGGTGCGCGTCTTAGTGGATACTGCGGCACATATTCCGACTATATGCCCGTATTCAACATCAGCACTGGCTCGAACCGCACCTTCGAATCCACAGATCCTCGAATGATCAAGGCGGACGCGCCCAATCTGATTGCGCAGTTCAGCGGTCTCGGTATTCCTGGCGGGTTGCCGGCGACGACCCCACTTGATGACTCCCGCGCGGCTGAGTGTGCTCTGTGGTATTGCCTCCAGGCGAGAAACATCAGCGTAGAGTCCGGACAGCTGAAGGACGAGATTGTCGATACCTGGAGTGAGGTGGATGGAGGCTCGATTTCCACCGGAAGAAATGTCACATTCGTGAACGTCCCGGCCAACTTCAATACCGAGGCTGGCAAGAGCTACGGAACGGGTCCATTTCAGATGTACGCCATGGAAGCATACGCAAAGACAAACATTATAGGAAACGTCAGCGCCGATGGGACTTTGGGAATTGTCTTTACCTCGGCGTCTCCCTTTGCGGACGGAATGCACGCCGGTTTCGGTGACGTCGGCAGCTGGATGAAGAGACTTACAAGAAGCTTGACCAACGACGTACGCCTGAACAGTAACGACACTACAGGCAACGACGCTTTCAGAGGTACCGTGATGGCTACCCAGGTTGTCATTGTAGTGCGGTGGGCTTGGATTGTGTACTCTGTCGCCCTAGTCGCTGTGTCGGTGATCTATCTCGTGGTTGAGGTTCTGCGAACAAAGAGGAAAGGGCTGCTGCCATGGAAGTCCGATGTACTTTTGCCAGTGTGCATGAACATGGATGATGAAATCAGAGAGAAAGCAGCTGGAGGCATAATTGAGCCTGGTGGCCTCAAGAGACTGGTCGGAGATGTTCCGGTTCAGCTCAAGGCTGACAGGACAGGCGTCATCCGATTCGCGCAAGAGGTCAAGACCGATGGAATCCATTCGCCCTGAGAAAATGCGAATGAGTGATTTGCTAGGTACACCTGATCCTGTTCTAGGGCTCGGTTTGAGGGCACGATTTAGGCATGTCAAGTACCAATTGAGGCATGAAGTGCAATGATAATGAGAATTCATGATGGAAATAGGGGATGGAAGCTCCTACGAAGAGGTGAATCTACAACGATCTAGCTAGCCGTACAGGAACCTCATCACGCCTTGGCATCTAGGGCGTGCGATTCGTTCGCACTAACCTTGCTATGCATGAGCATCACTGAATCTTTGTCACAGAACTCGATAACCTTCGTGACCTTGGAACCGTCCTCGTTGAAGTCAAAGATCCAACTGAATTCCAACTGAAGATTCTCTGAGCCGTCTTTGAACTTGATATCCGAAGAGGACGTAAGGGCCGCCTTTCGAGCTTCGGAGTCGACGACGAGGTTTGAAGTAGCAGTGGCCCCGACTGCAAAGACGGCGATGTCCTTGGCGAATTGTGTTTGGTAGGCCTCGTTGTCGAGGATGAAGTCGCCTGGTATGCCAAATGCTTTGGTCAAGGAACGGGGGAGCAGTTGGCGGGTGCAGTCTGGGCTGACCTCGCGGTTGATGATTGAGGCGTCATTATGCTTTTCGCCGTCTGTGTATGCCTCGAAGTAGGACTTGATGGTCGCCTCGACTTTTTGTCGGAATGCCATATCTGAGGACTTGGTACAGCGATTTGCGTTGAATTGAGGGTGAGAAAGTGAAGGAGAATGACCTGCCAGTGCCTTTGAATATCACTGATGTGCTGGCATCTTCTTACAATTATGCATTCCTGGCAGGTGTTTCAATGATCTCACAGGATTCAGACTCCTGTCATCTCACGTCAGCCTATTATTAGCTTCAGAACCATTGGCAGTCCACGTACCCCGCGAAGTGGTGATTGGCGTACTAATTACTTACGCCTCTTTCTGCATTAGGCATGAGACACTCGGCATTTTATTCGAGGGCTGGATGCGATGTTCCTTCGAGGACTTTTGTCAACCAAAGGCCATACGGCATACCCGGTGGGGTTTTTGATCACTTGATATCAAGCCGCATGCAATTACTGTTCGAGGAGAGTAAAAATCATGTTTTTCAGTGGACGTATTGTTCGACACGCATAACGGGAAATCCGTCAGGATTGCTTACTTTCTCCCTGAAGCCGTCTAATCACAGGCCAGTGAGACCCAGGTGCATAATGTAATAGCATGATGGATGATCATATTCAATAGAACCATGTCCCTCAAAATGACACAGTGACGTGGTGTAGCTGACCGGTTTTACTTCCGTACCAATAGGCTATCTTCAGCGTCATCTTACTCCATTGGCGGATGATCCGATGCCAAGAGTCAACTTCGATGAGCTGTTCATACTAAGACAGTCGAGTGAATGTGTCCCCGTATAATAAGTATCTTAGTCTCAGTAAGACGTGATGGCTTGGGTGGTGTACAGTACAAGAGCGCTTTCAGATCTCTGCCAGATTTCAGGGCAAGAGATTGCGCCCCGTGGTATTTTATGATACAACAATGGCTTTGATACGGGGCTGGAGAAAATCCCGAAGTTCACTCAGAATATCAATGCAGTGTTTGCCGGCCTTAATGGCTTTTGAGGTCAGCCTGAACTGGATAAAGATTGATGAGTGCGTAACTTCGATGCTTACGAGTCGTTTTGTTGCTTAACAGCAGTATCGCTGGAGGCTATGCAGCGTTTATCCTTGTTATTGGACCTGAGACTTTGCACAAGCGACTCAGTGAAATTGAATGCGGCAGGCAATGTCACTACTGGGCTCGTATCTCCAACTCAAGTTGATATCACGAATTTTGGACTCACGTTATGTAGCTCTCTTATGTGCATGCATGTAGCTGCGACTACAAAACGCCGACGAAGAACTCAGGCTGTATCATCATGGCCTGCAAGTAATAGATGTGATTGACTTGAAATGGCAATCCTCAAAGCTTGCAGTGAAATTTGCTACACCTACCTCAGCACTAGTAATCGGCACG